CCCCCCCCCAGCCCCCGCCAGAGCCACTGTCCAACCCGCTCACGTTGAACCTGAACTGAGCTGGCACCCTGGGGGGAATGGGGACCATCTGTGTGAGGGACCCCCCCCGTGTGTCTTTGCTTCCCCCCTCTGGCCGCACGCACCCCAATATAGATGAGAAAGAGCCACCTGGTGAAACTGAGTGAAAACATCCCATGCTTTCTTGGAATGAAATAGTGTCACCTAACGGGCCCCTATCTCATCCTTCTGACTCCGATGCTCCGTGACTCCCCCCTCCCAACGTCCGGGCCCTCTCCCCACCCAAGAGAGAGTAAAATGCAGGGGTGGGGAACGAAACAGCAGAGACCGTGAGAAGCGGCGGAGGGGAAGGGGCAGCGGAAGAACAGAGGCGTTGGCTCAGGGGGACGCGTCCGTAGAGCGAATGCTTTCCCTCTACCAGCCCGAGAGCCATCGAAGCCCCCAGCCCTGTGAGAAACTTCACATTTGGTAGGACGCCAGCCCAGTGTAGCAGCTCCAGAGGCGTGACGGCCCCCGACAGAAGTATGAACAGAGATTACCCCATAGGCAGCATTTTTAAAATCTGCTGTCCCATCCTCCCCCAGGGGCTGCTCTGACTCATCACACTGTGTGTGGTGCTTGCATGGAGAATGCATTCACCGCGCCCACAGGTGGCCAGACAGACACCCAGTCACTCCCCGAAGCAGCTTCATTGTGCAGCCTGGGCAACTGCCCCCCAGCCCTTCCCCTAGTCACACCGGACCGGCCAGACGCCTGCCTGACACCCAGCACTCAGATCCGTGCGCGGGGCACACAGCACGCAGCCAACCACACAGACAGGTGCACGGGCCCCTCAGGCTGCGAGCGCCCCCAGGATCCAACCCCAGGCCCCACTGACACGCCCCCCCACACACACACACACAAACATGTCGCCCTGGATCCAGTTCAAGGGGATGGAGCAGCAGCGAGAGTCATCGACTGTCCTTTCCCTCCACTTTCCCAGCACGTCTCTTATCTCTGTCTTGCGCGTAACCCCTGGCCCTCTCTTCCTTCCTTGTGCCTCAAGGATCCGTCCTGGCTGGAAAGCCCCCTGGCTTCTCAGCCTCCCTTTCCACCTGTGGGAAAATACCCACTATCTGGTCGCCACCTTTTTCCTTTCCCGAGTGCAGGACCCACTGGCGGAATCCAACCTCAAAACAGGAAGCCCTGGGCTGGTGCCCCCCGCGGGCCTGAGGCCGAGACAGGCAATGGGCGTGGGGCAAAGGCTTCCTGACTTTCCCGCTCCCCCCCGCCGCCTGGCCCATGGCCCTGCCCAGAACTGATGGCCTTCATTAGTCCCTGGCACTTATCTTGGAGCCACAGTCACCGACAGGACGTCCCCGGCCCTTGCCTCTGCCTGCTCTGAGCTCAGCGGCACCATGGGGAACTGTCTGCAGCACCGGGTGAGTGTGGGGCCAGGCCCGCGGCCCCCCACCTCTTGGCCCATCGTCTTTCTGTCTGCCCCTCGGTGGTCTTCATACGCCTTTCCTTCTCTCCTCGTCTCTCACCCTCCCTCTTCTTCCTTTTGCTCCTTCCCACTCTGGTCTCCTGGGGCCCCCCCACCATCATCGTCCTCACTTCCAGCCGGGTCCCGGCCGCCCCGGCCCTGACGTCGTCCAACTCTTACGGTGCTCTCCGGTCCCCTCCCCTGCCCCTCCCTCCCAGGCTCCGGGGCTCCCTGTGCCGGCCTCTCCCACTGTCCCCCCTGCTTCCACTCCACCTGTCCCCCTCTCCCTGCCCTCATTCCCCCGGACTCTTCAGTGGGGTAAGCCGATGATCTGATTGTCCCCTTTGGGGATGCCCTCCAGGTGGCGGATGAGGACGCTACAAAGTTCACCTTGGGAGAAGATATTTGGGAAGAGTTTAATGACTCCTACGACATGAACTACAACTACAGCATTGTGGAAGCCGCCGCCCCCTGCCGCTCCTGCCCCCTGCTCGATGACTCCTCTCTGCCCTTCTTCGTCCTCGCCAGCGTCCTGGGCATCCTTGCGGGGGGAGCAGTGCTCTTTGCGCTTCTCAGGCCTCTCTTCCACTGGCGGGTCTGCCCTGAGCGGCCGGTCCTCGTACAGCTGGCCGTGGGCAGCACCCTCTTCAGTGTCGTGGTGCCCATCCTGGCCCCGGGGCTCAACGGGGTGCAGAGCACAGCCCTGTGCCGCCTGGCACACCTGCTCTGGTACGGCTCAGCCTTTGCCCAGGCTCTGCTGATTGGGTGCCACGCCTGCCTGGGCCCCAAACTGGATGTGGGCCACGTCGCGGGCATCACCCTGTGGCTCACTGTGGGACTCTGGGGAGCGGCTCTTCTCCTGGGGCTTCCCGTCACGCTGGCCAGTGACACCTCCCGTGGACTCTGCTCCCTGAGCTTCAACAACAGCCCCAGGTTTCTGCCGCTTTTGCACGTGGTGGCCAGCTTTACCGCCTTCACCTTGTTGCCACTGGGCTTGATAGGTACCAAGGCGCTGACGAAAGCGTGGGGCAGGTGGCCAGGTCCCTGCGTTAGTGTCCTGTGGGTCTGGTTTGTTTTCTGGTGGCCTCACGGGGTGGCTCTGGGCTTGGACTTTCTTGTGAGGTCCAAGTCCTTGGTACTGTCGACGTGTCTGGCCCAGCAGGCTCTGGACCTGCTCCTGCACCTGGCAGAGGCCCTGGCGATACTCCACGGTGTGGCCACGCCCCTGCTCCTGGCCCTGTTCTACCACCAGACCACCCGCACGCCCCTGCCCTCCCTGCCTCTCTCGGTAAGACGGCCTTCTCATCTGGACCCCCCGGGAGGCAAGTCCCAGCTCCCTTCGCACCTGTCAACCTGAATTAAAGTCCACGCTACTTTTACCGAGCTGCTGGTTTCTCGTTTTATCCGGGGACGCAGAGGAGAGGAAGGAGAATGGAAAGGGAGAGGGAGAGAGGGAGGGATTTCACACCGGACTTCCCGGCCAGCGTCTGTTTCTCTAGCTGACCTGGGGAGAAAGTGTGCAAACACCCTCAGGGCGCACAGATGTTCTCTCTAGAGGCTACTGCTATCTCAAAGGCAAGGAGAAGAGGCACCAGAGAATGAGGGGAACCGCTACCCCTGAGAAAACTCAAAGAGATGGCTTAGCAGATGAGGAAGGAAGAGAAAGTGTTGCGGAAGAGCAGGGATAGAGACCATAGGCCCCAGAGAGAGGAAAACGGAGAAGAGTGAAAGCGAGCCAAGAACGTGACTCCCCACCCTGGCTGCCTCGTCCCGCCTTCCTCTCCGCCTTCTCTCCGACACCCGTTGGCTTTGCTTAGAGATCAGGGTGGTGGGCAAGGAGGAGAGAAGCATCCTGGGGGACCCCACTTAGTCCGGGAACGTTCATTCGAGAGAATTCCCAAAGCCACTTCCCAGGAATCATCTCTCTGAAGTTTGTTTCTCGGCAGGCCCCTAATCCCCGTGCGTGTGCGTGCGTGCGTGCGTGTGTGCTCACGTGGGTGTACATCTGTCTCTATCTGTAGGGACCCATCCATGCTGGGTGCAGGCATGAGATACCACTCGTCCGCGTGCAGCTCGCCTGCCCATCAGTGTCCGCACCACACACACCTGTGTGCCAGCTCTGACCTCTCTCAGACCCTTCCTTCCACTTTGTCCCCCTCTCCGTCCTGGTTTTCAGGACGTGGAGTCAGGATTTGTGACTCAGTCCTTGCCCAAATGAGTTTTCTTTCCCCCGGCTTCTGTGCTGAGTCTTTTCTGTGTGGGATGCGTAGCGGGAACGAAACATCAAGAAGTCCAGAAGGTTGAGACACTTCAAAGGGAGGGGCCTGATCTGACTCATCTTCTGCTTAGAATCCCCCAAATTTCCCTTTCAAACCCCGGCTCCTGAAATGAACCTTTCTCGCCCCGCAAGTCTCTCCCTCCACCTTCTACACCACACCCCGGTGCCCTGGGAGCCTCTCCTCCAGATACCACCTCCCCGCCCCAGCTGCATGATCCTGACCCTGGGGGCTTTTTCCTCCAAGTTTGGGCCATGGTCAGAAGCCACTGGATAAGCAGAACAACTTCTGCCACCAGCAAATTCACCCTCCACCCAAGATGCCACACACAAAAACGAGTTTCTCCCTCCAACCCAGTTCAAAGCTGGGGAAACTTGAGAGGGTACCTTCCCCACCTGTCTGAATCCGGACGCCGCCTTTCCGCTTCCTAAAGACGCAGGCTACCCTGGTTTTCCCCTACACCGTTTCTGCCGGACTCTCCGGGCTCGGGGATAAATAGGAGAGTGCAGGAGAGAAGCAGGCGGGAGCTAGAACAGCCCAGGCAGGCGGCAGACAGGCTCCGGAATTTTCCTGGGTGGGTGCGTGACAAAGCCTCGAAATCCGCCCGCCCCCCACCCCACAATCTCCTGTCTCCTAGCAACCACCAGGATAGCTGCGGATTGGTACATCCTAAATGGAAAGGCGGGACTTAGGGCCGGTGGAGCCGCGGGAGGCGCGTTTGGAGACCGAAAGGAGAGACGAGAAAAATGCAGGAAAACCAGAGAATTTACAAACCTAAATTATAATAAGGCCTCCAACCACCGGTCGTGAAGACGTCACAGGCTTTTCTCTCTTACCCCCTTTGCAGCGGCTCCTGGGGACCCGCCAGCCCTGCCCTCTCCCCATCTTACTGGACATCACCCAGCCCCTCGCGGGGCCCTGGATGCCAGGCTGACCTAGTTGAGAGGCAGGGGAGGGTGTTTGCCTTCGCTGAGCCTTCCAGGGTAATCTGATGCACGTGGAGGCTGTCTTTAAGCCCCCGGGGCTGTGCCCTCCAGCCCCGGCCGGGCCTCTAGACAGAAACGGCTCCTGCTGGGTCTGGCTGGAGAGAAACCCAGACAGGCCCCCCCCCATCACATCTCTCACCAAGCAAAGGCGGAGGCAGAAGCCGGTGGCTGATAAGAGGTCTGGGAGGTTGGAGCGGCCTCCCCACACTTATCTCCGGCCCATCCCAACCCAGTCCCTCTGGGCGGCCCTTCCGGTACCGTGTACTGCCCTGGGATACGCTTTCCGTGAGCCTGATCCTGACCGTGGCCATTTCTTCAAGGCTCTCCTGGAGTCCTGCCACCCCAGGCCATTGGACCCACCTCATGCTGCCAACCTCCCCCAAACTGCTCTGAATGTGGCATCTTTTCAGCGACCCCTCAAGCATCCAGATCCTGTTTCCTTAGAACCCTTCAGAATTTAATCTTAGGGTTGGCAGGGACGTTAGCCGTGTATGAGTTACTGGGCCCCTGGGCTAAAGGAACAATCCTCTCAGAAATAGGGGAGCAGGAGGCAAGCTCTGGGAGCAGGCCAGGCCCTGGGGAGGATCCCTCCGCACTGCCTCAGGAAGGAACACTGAGGAACACTGAGGCCCACGGTTCATACAGTCCGGGCTGGGGCCCCTCCCAGAAGATGTAGGAAACAGATACCTGACCTCACACCCTTTTTCCCAACCCCGAACCCCACAGCCCCATCATCATCATCGCCTTCCCCCAGGGGCGGCCCTCGGAGGAATTCTGATGGAAGACTTCCCTGGGATCTCAAACCCAATTCCTCGCCAGCTCTAATTGCCAGGGATTTGCATGAAAACCATCGCATGCTATCTAATTATTCTGACAACAGCAGCCGCCGTCTGGGCACAAGGAGAATCTCAGCTTTAATTAACAACAAAGCACCTTGCAGACCAATGTGACTGTTCAGGTTAATTAACAAGTCCAAGTCCTTCCAAATGGACCGCGCACATCTTTGGGGTGATTTGGGCGGGAGGGCTGTGGGGCACGCAGGGGGCGGGGCCGGCTGAGAAAGGAGCTCCCCGCAAAAGTGGGCGTCGCCTCTGGGGCCTGGGGCCTATGTGGACAGAGGGGATCCCCAGGACACAGAGCCCCTTGCAAAACTGGTTTAGGGGAAGTGGGGGCACAGTTGTAGGGGATTTCAGCTGTCTGTGTGGAACACTTAGATTTCGGAAACCTTCTAGACACGTTTGTATAAATGAGAGGAAGAAGTCCTCACAATTCTTAAGCATGTCTAACTGGCCGCCCAGGTGTTTGGGAACTGGGTTTTGTAGCATGAGAGCCCCAACTGTCCCAACGCCGACATGTCTCTCCACGTTTCTTTGTTTTTGTTTGCACCGTATTTGGGGGGCACTCAATGTTGCCTACTACTCCCGAAGATTCCCAGAGAATGTTCTGAGCCCTGCAAACTGCGTCTTTCTGAAGGGCCCGCGGCTTGTCTTCTCCCTCGAAGTCGGGTGTTACTAGTGTTTGGGGAAGAGGGGATCATAGGTCTCTTGGGAAATCTGATGAAAGTTCCCAAGTCTCTCTTTGGGACAACAGAATATTACATCCACAGTTTGGCATGGAGTCCTTCCCCACTGCCCGTGGAGTTTAACTCCGGGCTTTCACACGAGCACGACTTCTGTGATGGATTGTGGCTTCACCTCCCCCTTGCTCCCCAAGCTTGAGGCCCAGTGACCTAAAGAATGTTCTGTTCCTTGGATGGGCAAATCCCATTTCTATTCTGGGCTTTGCACACGACATCCCTTCTGCCTGGACTGTTCCCTGTGCACTTTATGGGACTGGTCCCTTCTCATCCCTGGGGTCTCAATGCAAATATCTCCTCTTCCCAGACTGACCTTTCCTGACATGCAGTGTGATGTAGCCCCACCGCCACCCCCACGCACCCAATTATTCTCCACCAGTTCGCCAGGAGGTTTCCAATGTGTATGCGTCATACACTGCACATGTCCCTTTTCTTCATTTGTCTGCTACCACTTTACTGCTGATCTGCACCCCCCCCCCACCCCCACCACCACAAAAAAGCAAGCATCAAGAGTACGGGAGCTTTTTCTCTGTTGTGACTGGAACATAGAGCTCAGCAAATGTGTGCTAAATATGTGAATGAATTAATTTCATATGAATCAAGTGTGGACTCCCACCCTGGAGGGTTTCCAAGCTCCTAGGAAAGAGGAGCAAGTAAACAGCCCCAGAGCCCCCAGCTCCTCTCCAGAAGCCCCCCCCCCCCCCCCAGGGTATCCGTCCGGGCCTCCAAGGGCTACACACGGCCAGGGTTGGGGGCTGAAGAGACTGGGGGACTGTCGCACAAGATTTCTGGCCTGGGAACCTGTTTTCTCTGTCAACTTTGGGCCAGTGGCAGCCAGGGGACTCACCACAGTCCCTGAACCTCAGGTTGGAGTGATGCTTGTTTTTCTTCGGGACAGTGCAGCTTTGGACAGCAGGGGCGAGCCAGGAGGACTGCCATCCTTCATATTTACCTAAGGAAAAGGGAGTCCCCAGAGAGGCCCCCAAGTTCAAGGAGACTGTCTTCCACTGGCTCAGAATCAAATTTGGAGCCTGGCCACCTCTTCAGATTTGATCACCCTCAGGGAGGGAACCCACACTTTTTGTGGGCCTCAGAGACATTTTGGCCTCTCTGCCATTTGTTCCTTGTCATTCCTTCTCCTCAGCTTCAGTTCCAGCCCAGCTGCCCCCACCCCCGTTCCCTTCCTGACCTCTGAACTCTGGCTCCTTCTCTCACCTCCGATAGCCCCACCCCCACCCACTGTGGCAATTCATTTTCTTGAAACTCTGGGCATTTAGTCAGGTTAACCCTTTAAGGCACTTAGGGGTGTGTAACTCATTTCGTTTCAAAGATGTATTTTTTTTTCAACGTTTTATTTATTTTTGAGAGAGAGAGACAGAGAGAGAGAGAGAGAGAGACAGAGTGCGGGCAGAGGAGGGGCAGAGAACGAGGGAGACACAGAATCCAAAGCAGGCTCCAGGCTCCGAGCTGTCAGTACAGAGCCTGACACGGGGCTTGAACCCACTAACCGTGAGGTCAT